TGTAAATGTAAGTGTTTGTTAAGACTGATTGGCAAAAGTATTAAGTGTTAATATTAACAGTTATTACTGATTGACCATCTATACAAAAAGCTAACAGTTATTGACAAAATACGTTATCACATATTGATTATTTCGTTAAAGTAATTGTTGCAAACGTGCGGCTTCAATCGGCAAACGAAAAAGGAACTCTATAGGAGCCTTTGTTGCTTCGTAGAAGAGCCGTCTTTATTCATTGTAATTTGTTCTTAATTGTATCATAAAGTGTGCTTAAAGATTCGCCAAAACTTTCTAGATACAAGAAAGAGGCAGTAGGATAAATTAATTGACGATCATTGAATATAAAAACTGCGATTAATGCTAAAAGGCTGGTTTGAAACTCGACCAATAATTGAGTATGACCAAAAAGCTATCCTCGCATTATTCACAAGCAAAATTTTCATTTTTTTGTCAGGGACATTTAAAGTGGCGAACACGGACACGGACACGGACAGTCCACGTCCGTGTCTATACTTGCCGCCCACACTATGGAGTATGGGTCGGGCTTTGAGATCAGTAAAAATCCCATATTCCATATTAACCAATCAGATTTTCGTCACACCATTAAATAATTTGATAAATGGGAAAGATCGACATAATATAAGAATAGCCAGAATCAGTTTTTACGTCCCATTTTAATTGTAAATCTTTAGGTGAAAACAAAGCCAAATTCACATTATGGATTAAGCGCAAAAGAATGGAGAGTAAAAGTGAGATACAACTAAATTGATTTACTACCTATTAAAATCTTTGAATCATTGTAATTTAGTAAATTATAATTTATCATCATTATAATTATTGTATATTTGCTTTAGTGTTATTAATTTTACTATTATTATATTAAGATAATATAACAGTTGATTTAAAATAATGTTTGTATCATATAATTAGATTTAAAATAAATTTAATTAAATCACCAATTATTTAAAGTACATTAATTGGGAGTATGAATATATTTATTTATTATAATTAAATTTATTAATATCAATATACTACTATACAACATTGTATTAATTAATTTTTTCTTTTCTAAAAAAAATAGATATATGGTAAATGGTGTGTACAATCAAGAAAGAATTGTTATGTGGCTGTTGTTAAATTATATTATTATTTGATATTAATAAATAAAAAAATTTGTTGAAAAGTAGAAACAATTTCAAATCTTAAAAAGGTGCTTCTTTTTATTTCTCTTTGCTTTTTATGATATTTTTATAAATGACAATATTTTTATTAATAATTACAATACATTTTGTTAATTCTATTAATGAGACATGGGATATGGGATTGGATTGGATGGGATTTTAAGGATTTGAGTATGGGCAGCAGTATATCCATGTCAGTATCTGCTGACAACACTGATTTCCATAGATGGTGTCTCCAATTAAATATTAATATTTATTCTACCATTATATTGTGCTTTGGAATATATGTTTAATCAATCATATTATTAATATTAATATGGGACAACTCAATGTTACACAAGTCCGCCAAATGGAATTGTGATAATTATTGATATATAACTCAATAAGGCAACATCTACATTGTATGGCATTAATTCATAGTATATAATAAGCCTAATTCAACAAGTCCCAATACTTGTAAATTATTTATAAATTAATAAAATGATAATTAAATATTTTTTTAATTTAAAAGAAGAAATTATTTTTAAAGATTTTTATGAACAATTATGGGAATTAAAGGTATGATTAGTGTATTTATTTATAGAAGCAGTTTTATGCAAAAGAATATATAAATCGTGCTAAAAATTATTATTAATAAAAGATGCACCAAATGTTATAACTTTAGCCAAATTTTCAAAATAAATTTACAAGAACTCAATATAATCTAGAAGATTTCTGAGTCATATATTTTCTACTGTAATTATTGATTTAATTTTTATTTTTATTGATATGGTTTTGCCGATAATTCTTGCTGAAAATTCCAGCACTTGCTTTGGAAAAAGCCAAATTTGCATTTCCAATATTATCACATTTTAAATTCCCGTCTTCATTGCAATATAATTATAATATTTACATTGCTCATTAAAATTAATAAGTTATTGAACTTTTAATAATTTTTGTCTTGAACATTGTTCTTTGACATTATTTTTTTATGATCAATCAATAACCTAAAAGTAGATTCATGCCTTTTAATCAATTCTTCTGGTATTTCAATCTTTGTTCATTCAATTTGCATTGGGCTTTTAAAAAAATATACTTGTAATTGCAATTTTTTTATTCTCATCTTCTGAAAAACTGATGATGATGATTGACGTTCACTGGGATGCTGGAAAAGGACGGGGGACGGGCAGGTGTGGCTTGAACCCGTCCCCCGTCCTTTTCACGTTTGGCCCTTTAATACTAGAAAAGGACGGGCAATGGTACGGTGTTTTTCAAAATAATTAAAAAAGGACGGGCAATTATGAGGGACGGGCGTGGCGCGGGTCAAGGCACAGCAACCCGTCCCTTTTTCACCCGTCCTTTTCTATTATTCATTGGGGAAATCTTGAAAAGGACGGGTGAAAAAGGGACGGGTTGCTGCGTCATCACTGCCCGTCCCTAATGTTTTCTTAAAAAGGACGGGCATTAATAATACTTACAATATTGTATAATAAATAAGAAAATAAATCATTTCAAATTGTACAAGGCATAATTGGAAAATATTATATTATTATGTACTAGCCATAAATTCGTATTAATATTAGTAATAAAAAATAAATTGATATGTGCCAAAAAATATAATAAATCTATTACCAAATAAATGTGGCATTGGCATTCATTATTTGACAATCTTGATTAGTACCAAATAACAATGCATTTATTATTAAAAAAACATGGCATTCATTTTGATTAGTATTAAATTTAAAGTTATGTATTAAAAAGGTTATTTATAGTGGTGGCAACAATCAACATCTGAATCTAGATTTTCATGTTTTTTGACACTAAACAAAATTGCCAATTCAAATTTGTTCTATAATATATTAAAATGAACTAGCCATAAATTCATATTAATTTTAGTAATAAATCCATTGTTAATAAATGTGGCATTGGCATTCGTTATTTGACAATCTTGATTAGTACCAAATAACAATGCATTTATTATTAAATAAATGTGGCATACATTATTTATGATCTTGCATTCATTAATCAAAAAATGTGGCATTCATTTTTGATTAGTATTAAAATTAACAATTAAAGCTTTGTATTAAAAAGGTTATTCCCCTTCTATTTATAGTGGTGGCAACAATCAATATCTGAATCTATATTTTCAATGATTTTATTTTATACAATTTTGTCTCAAACCAAAAGATTATAAATAAAAATAAAAATCAAGATTTTAAATAAGGAATAAATGGATATGGGATATTATATTTATGACAAACAGCTTTCACCTGTGTTTGCCCCATTAATAATAAAAAAAACAGCAGGACAAAGTGGCAATGGCACAGTAACCCGTCCTTTTCAATATTTGCCCATAAATAATATAAAAGAACATGGGACGGGCAGTAATGACGCAGCAACCCGTCCCTTTTTCACCCGTCCTTTTCAAGATTTCCCCCATGAATAATAGAAAAGGACGGGGACGGGTTGCTGTGCCTTGACCCGCGCCATGCCCGTCCCTCATAATTGCCCGTCCTTTTTTATATTATTTTGAAGAACACCTGTACCATTGCCTGTCCTTTTCTAGTATTAATGGGCAAATCTTGAAAAGGACGGGGGACGGGTTCAAGCCACACCTGCCCGTCCCCTGTCCTTTTCCAGCATCCCGAGATTCAGTATGGTATAACTCTTGCAGAACGTATGGTATGGTATGGTATAGCCCATACCAAGTCACACAAAATTTTATTCTAAATCCTTTTTTGGTGGGTGTGAAGGGAAGTATGTTAGATTCAAGCATTGGTATACAATCATTTTATTACACTTATACAATACCATACCATACGTTTTGCAAGAGTTATACCATACTGAATGTCCCTATACTCATTTTTTGCGGATAACTACAGAACTACATGATTATAATGGGAGTACCAACTCTACTTTCTACATGTATATGTTTCACTATGATATTAATATAGCTCACATTGTTTATATGTGTTTTTAAACTTTACTCCTAATTTGTACATTTCCTGATCAAAAACTTTTCATCCTCAATTATTAAAATTATAGATCTCAAAAAATATTAGATTTTCAACAAATGATTTCTCAGAATACAGTAAAGAAGCAAATACTTGATGCTTATGCAAAAATGTTTTGATAAGATCCAGAGTTATTGAAGTCATAGCAGTTTTGTTAAGTGAATCTAATTGCCAATGTTAACAATCAAAAGTGGTTATATTAATTAATCAAAATTACACAGAATTTTCAGAATTTTATGTTAATCAAAACCATTGTTGAAATAACATCTATGAAAAGTCATTACAATGTCATAAAAAATTAATTCTCTTGATCATTCATTTGCTCACAGCACTAGAAGAATTTAATTTTCTCTGGAATAAAATATTCACCAAAAAAAGTTTGATTTATTTAAAAAACATATAATTAGGTTCATCTGTTGTATTCATAGAGCAGATAGCTCAGAATTTAAATATCCCCATCTTTTTGACGATTTGATGTTGGCATTAGAGGTGCCCCTATTTATCATGTGTAATTACTTTATTCAACTTTTTGTTTATATGCAATGCAAAGAAAGCAAAGAAACTGAATATTTCCAACACAACACAAATTGGCAATAATAAAAAAAAGGATGAATATGTGAGACAGACATGGCAAATTTTTGTTTTTATATTAAATCTGTAAAATTTATTTATTTGCTATCTAAAAGAATAAATAATAATGATACATAATAATTCATAATTGATATTAATGTAAATAATTGATAATTCATCCAACATCATAATTTCTAAAATTAATTTTAATTTTAGGATATAAAGTACAGTATAAACCAAATAATAATAATAACTACCTTCAGTTGTTGACCAAATCCTTAACTTCAACTAATATTTAATTAATAAAATAAAAAAATTATTATAAATAAAAAATAATAAATATAAAGGAAATTCAAAATAAATTTACCAGTAAAAAGTTTAATTGAATTATTATTAGATTTATTGCTAATTTCAACTGTTTTAAAAATACATAAAATTTCATTGATTATTCATTTCTTAAACATTTACTTAAATATTATTATATATTACCTTGATTCCATTTTGCAATTTCATTAACCTCATTAATTTTATCAACCACCATATCCATCATTTTTAAATCATTTCCTTTACCATTAAAATTTTAATTGAAAAATTAAAAATTAAAAAATTTCAGTTGATTAATTAATCATAATAAAATTTAATTACTTTTATTATCAGAAACAACTTTAGATACTGGCCCAAGTTCAAGTTCATCTTGTAAACTTTTATATTTAGCAATATCATCATCTGATATTCTGCTTGAATGATGAATTACTTTTGATACTGGTCCAAGTTCAAGATCATGTTGTAAACTTTTATATTTAGCAATATCGTCATCTAATATTCTGCTTGAATGATATGCTAATGGATGTGATTTTTGTATTTGTTGTGATTTGCTTGTAGTAGAAATTATAGTTTCATTACTTAAATTTTCAATTTTATAAATTTTTGTCATATAATCACAAGCAAAATCACAAAGTTCTCCAATAGTTGGTCTTTTAGATGGGTCAACATCCCAACATTTTTGCATCATTTTTGCATATTCTTCTGGAATATTTGATAAAATTGGTGGTCTTAAACCTTTACAAATTTCCATAATTAAATGATGATCATGTGCTCTATCATCAAAAGGTGGATGTCCTGAAAATATCTCCCACATCAACATTCCAATGCTATATACATCTGATTCGTTTGTATTTTTGCTTGTTTTCGAAGAACTTCAGGTGCAATATATGATATAATTCCATATATTTTGTTTGATGATTCATCATCAACTGGCCCACATAATCCAAAATCTGTGATAAAACACCAATTTCCTTGGACTAAAATATTACCACTGTGTAAATCACAATGCATTAAATCTTGCAGATGTATATCACCTAATGAGTTACATAAATATTTAAATATTGTAATTCTATTTTTTAAAGTTAAATGTGAATGATTTGTTTGCAAACAATCTCTTAAATTTCCTTCTGGAATATAATTTAGAACCATTGCATAGTTGTTATTTTCTGGGAATTTAGTTATACCATAACAGGAAACAATCCTACCAGATTTAATTTTACAATAATTTAATGCCTGAAAGATTATATGAAAATCAATTAATATAATGTTTAATATGTTTATTTAATTTAAAATAATTTACTACTGACCTCATCAAAAAAATTTTTTCCCAACTCATTTGAATTATTTAGCAGTTTTAATACTACATTTTGAGATCCATGATAAATAAATTCTTTTATATTTTCATCATAGTCAAATATACACCCTTTTTTCCATGTGGCAACATAAATACTACCAAAACCTCCTTTAGTTAAATACTCCACCTCTTCAAATTGATCGAATGGGATCCATTCCATAATATGTGTAGGAAGAGATGAGAGCTTTTGACATTTTTGAATAAAATTATCAATGATGCTGTTTCCAGATGACCATGTATCAAAAAGCTTCTGTAAATGTAAACAATACAGTTTTCACAAAATCTGTCTGAATATTTGCGTAATTTGCACTTGTTACATTTTTTTAATTCACCCAATTTATAAGTTGCATTTTCTAATTCAAATCCATAAATATATCTTTCTTTACAATATTCCTTTTCATTTTCTGAAAGTTTTTCATTTTCAGTTACTAATGATAAAAATGTAGCCTTTTGAATTTCTCTTTTAGATGTGTTTGATGAAGTATTATTATAAATATCATTTGCAATTGATAAATAATTATTAAATAATTCATAATAAGTTCTATACACAAAATATTTTCTGTCTGATGATAATGATGACAATAAATTGTAAAATGACATTTTTTTTGAATTATAAAAAAGATTTAAATCAAAATCCCTTTTATGGAAATTCACAAAGTATTTTTATTATGTAGGACTAAGGTTGCGGGAGAAACTCCTCCAGAAATCAATCGACAGAGTTTCGACAGGTTACACATTAATTGGTTATTAGAGTTTCGGCAGAGTTTCGCATTTGGGGTTTTCGCCAATCATCAGAGTTTCGACAGGTTACACATTAATTGTTCATTAGAGTTTCGACAGAGTTTTGACAGTCATTAAGAGGTTTCACCCACAACCTTATGTAGGACAAAATACAGAAATAAACACAATGCACAATTCTTCTAAAAAACTTATGATCAAGCCTTTGGTACGGCAGCCGTCATGGGTCTTGGTCTACCATTATTCTCAATTTGTCATATTTTAAGTTCTTGTAGAGTTATAGACTCTATTTCTCTCCAATCAAAGTTCCATTCAAACCTTCATAATCCTTATCCTTTGAGGATGATACTAAAGCTCCTTCTGTAACTTAGGTTTCAAAAATAATAAAAATTTGATTACTGAAAAAAAAATTTTCTTCTGACGTAATAACTCTTTCCAGATCGGATTGTTAACTATCTAAAACTACACCAAATAATATCATAATGATGTTTTGTTTTCACAATTAATGGTCGCGCAACTCTCTCCAGATTGTTGAATTAATTAACACCATAATAATAATAATAATAATAATTTCTGATTGTTGTGTTTGCATAACAACAATTCTTTCCAATCATTTGACCATGTTCTCTTTTCTAAAACTGATCAATCATATTTTTCTGATAATATTTTCTGATTAATGGTTAGATTTGTTTGGTCGTGATCTCTTAATTGATTAATTATTACCAAATGCAAAGTTGAACACCTTGTTTTTTTTTTTATTATGAAATTTATTAAGATTAAAAAAAAAAATCTACAATTTGAAAACCATTTCTAAATATGATTCCGATATATTCGTATTCATTCTATCGCAATATTCTACTGCATCAATCCAAGATTTTGTAACAACGAAATAAATTGAAATAAAACTTGAAATAATTATAACACAAAAATAAATTAAATCACCGATTAAAATTAAAATCGGAATAATAACTGATATGAACATCATTGGTAAAATGCCTAAGACTATGATGCTGTAAACTGATTTATCATTTTTGTTATTGTTACTATTCAATTTACTAAAAAAATATGACCAAATCTTGCATTCGAATTTTATAGTTATTGGTAGATATAATATAAAAAATGTTATTAAAGATGTTGGAATTGTTGCTATTAAATAAATCGGTAAAATCAATGGTATAAATATCAATCGCCATAGTTTTATGTCGGTGTGTAATGATGACGGTGGTGAAGAAGTCAGAATTCTAACTTTATGAGGTATTTCAAACTCAAAATATCTCCATGTGAATTTTATTAAATCAACGGAATTTAAAATCGGTTCTAAAATCGGTGACTCGTAAATTGTTTCCCATGATGGACCCAATTCATCCTCATCTTCATCTCCACCATCTTCTTCGCCTAGTTTCCTACTACTATCACAGCAGTATTTAAATAATTTATAAATGTAAAATCCAATTGCAGCGGTTGATGATATGTTATAAAAAGGGACTTTGTTGTTGTTTTTGTCGGAAATAATCAAATGTTTTATTGTCGGAGTTACGATAGAAAGATAGACGGAGTATGATGTGAAAAATACTAAACTAATTGGAACATATAAAAACATTATTACTAAGGGTGAAACTAAGAACAATATGAATTTAAGATTTGGCCCAATACAGTGATTCATAAACAGTAAATAATAAAAGTAAAATACATTTTGAAAGAAAAATAAATCAGTTATGAAAATGTTCGGTGTTATACATAATATGCTTATCGGTATTATGTACAATACTATGTCTATTATTAATAATACTCCGCTTACCAAGGGCCTTAGCGTACTTTGAAAATCTTTAGATTCAATAATCATCATTTTTTTAAAAGACAAAGAGAATAGTTATTTTCTTGATTTTTTTAAGCTGAAAATTTCACCTTTCACAATTTTCTTTTATATGATTTTTGAGAAATGAATATCATACAATATATTAATTTTCGGAGTCACGGTTGCATACTAAAATCTAAATAAAGAAGAAATTAAATATCATGATGATGTATAAGCCTGTTTTCTTGATTTGACACAGTCGGTTGAAAGAATAATAAATACTTGTATGAATTCCCAAAAAAACGATATAAACATATTTTACTTTATACTCATTAATTTGCCATTTAAATTACTTGATAATAATATAATCAGGAAAAAAACCAATCATTCGTTCTCTTATCCTTGGTGAATTACGAAAATATCCGATACTTTAATATTATTAATATTAAATCTGGTGGTTTCATATATGGTATTAAAATACTAAATATGGTAAATAAATGACTGGAAATCGTACGAAATAAATAAATATCGTGATCAATTCTTATTTTATATAATAATAAAAAATAAAGTCTGTCTGTCCACAAGGAAGGTTGGTGCCATGGCTTAACCTGAATATGATAATTAATACCCGGACTAATCGGAAGAAACAAACGGTGAACGAACAATTTAACATTGATTATGGGAGGATAGTTACGTATTAATATTTGCATTTTTTTTTTGTAAATTGATATTGATATATATATTTTTTTTTTTTGACGATTCAGTACTGTTACACTATTAGAAAAAAATTATTTATCTAAAATAAGAAGACAGCTAAGGAATAATACATTTTGATAACAAGTAGTAGTAATAATAAATAATAATAATGAGACGATAGCGATAATAAATTATTAGGTTACAATTCCATAACATTATTGTTATTAAAATCTTCATCCTCACTAAAACTTTCCCATTCACCATCATCTTCACCGTCATCATCTTCACCACCTTCTTCGTTAGATGTTGAATTCTTCACTGAATTTTCTATTATTTTCAATAACTCTTGAGTGTGTTGTAAAATGTCTTGATCATCATAATCTAATTTATGGTATAACTATAAATTTATGTAGAATTAATTTTTAAATCTATTATCATAATAATTGTAATAAATATAAATATAAAATAATAATTATCCAAATATTATTATTTACGTTTTTGCAAGTAATCAAACACTCCTGAGAATCCTCCAAATGAATTTGCTGATCACCTTCATTTTCCGTTTCCTCACTCATACAAAAATAACACCAACCATAAAGATACCATAAATCAACCACTTGATCATTTTCTTTTTGTAAAGTCTCAAGTACCAAAAGAGCCTTTGTATATTCAGAGAGTTCCAATAACAACTTTACTAATGATATTCTTGTTTCATATGATGGTATCGATGATGATGGGTGATTATAATCTGACTCATAATTATTATTAATCCAAAGACTTAAACTCTTTTCTAAAGCAACTTTAGCTTCTTCGTTTCTTTCTTGAGAAAGTCTTACTGAAGCTAGGCATTGAAATATTTCCGGATTGGTTGGATCGATTTCTACAGCTTGATTTAAATAATTCTCACATTTTATTTCAGCATCTGATTCATAACTAAATATGATAATGTTGAAAAATTATTAATATTTTTTTTTGTAATCAAGTTATAATTGATGAATGAATGAATGATTTAAAAACATATTTACCAACAATCTGTCAAATATATTTCAACCATTGAACATAAAGCAGAAGAAATTTTACGCTTTAAAATTTCCTTTGATTTAATGTCATCATCATCATCATTACTTCCTTCTCCTGCATTCTCTCTTTCATCTTCTAAATTATTATTATTATTATTATTATTATTATTATTATTATTATTATTATAATTATTATTATTATTCGATTGATGAAATTCTTCAATCATTAGATTTACTCCTTTTTGAAAATTTGAAATTGCTTCTAAACCATTTGTCAATTGACCCATATACATGTATTTTGAGTAACCTTGATTTGGATTTATCGAAATCGCTTTAGAAAAATGCTAAAATAATATTTATCAAAGTAATTGGTCAAATACTCTTTGATTCCTTGATTGACTCGGCCTTCTTTCTTCTTGTCTTATTTTTAAACAAATGAATAAATACCTCTTTAGCTTCTTCAAACATTTCCAATTCAATTTCATTCACGCCCAAAATTTCCAAAACTTTTGTGCTGTTTGGGTCTAAACTTAATGCTCTTAAACAAAATTTCAATGCCAATTCGTAATCACAAGTATCCATTAACGAATCAACCTTGGATATCAAATCATTAATTGTGTATGGTGAGTTTGTATTTGCTGGTCCTTCATCTTTATTTGAAAGTGTCGATTTTGAGGTTGTTGATTTTATTAAAGGCGATGAGGTTAAATCATCATTTATTGATACAGAAGAAGTCATTTTAGATATTAATTTTAATTTATTATATAAATAAAAAATTTTGAAAAAGATGATGTAGATCTTTTCTTAATAAAAAAGTATATCATTATGGTCTATGATTTACCAATATAAATCAACGCGTTTTAAACATGGATGGACATAAATCGTTTATTATTATTATCACGAGAGGATTTAAAAAGGTAGAGATTCTTATTTATTTATTCATTTATTTATTATTATTATTATTATTATCAATATCATTATCATTATTGTTATTATTGTCATTATTATTATTATTGTTCTCATAATCATCACCAATCTAGCCTTCCGCCTTTTCCTGGACCAAAACTTCCATTCATTGATCCACGATACAAATCTCTTATTACCTTTCCTTCGATAACAGTTGATTCTATTATGTTTTCAACATGACATGGAATCACATGACCATACCATATGCCTTGACCATCTCGATAAACTATAACATTGCCGGCATATTTATGACCTATAAAAAACAAATATGTATAGAAAAAATTTTTTATCAAATATAAAGTAGAACTTATTTTGATATATAGATAATTATATATATTTATTTATTTATTTACCTCCAGTATGACTACTTAAAAACACAGCCACGCCTTCATTTTTTTTATTTTCTACATCCAAACCTCTATCTTTTAAAATTCTATCAAATTCATTTTTTAATATTGGGCCTGTTATGCCACATCTTTTATCACGACGTCTATGTGAACATATTACTATGACAGCTTTGTATGGTATCGGATCTACTTGAAAATTAGTTGAAGAATAAATATTTTGTTCTTGATTTGACAATGACGGCGGCGGCTGCGGCGTTGATGATGGTGATGGTAATAAAAATTTTTTAAAAAATTCTAAAGCATTTTTTGGATTTACATTATAAATTAAAATATTATCAGGGAATAGAAGAACATCATTCCCTTTTGAAAATTTTAAATCTTTATCAGTGTTTACTCGATCACAGTTAGTAATAACTATACGAAGCAATTTTTCTAATTCTATGTTATTATTAGTGATGCTGTTATCTTTATCTTTATTGTTGTTGTTGTTGCCAAAATCTTTCGCATTATAATCATTATCATCTGAATCAACTTTTTTTCTTTCGTCTTTTTTGTCGTTATCACTGCCATCACCACCAGATTTAATAATTTTATGTAATTGACTTGCTAAACTTGCAGAATCATCTTCTATTCTAATTATCCAGTCGGTTTTACCTGTTGAAATTAAAACATGTTTGAAATAAGGTTTTACTGTGCCTTCTAATGAAGAATCATAATCAATTTTAAGATATGAAGGATATGAAAGATGAGTTGAACAAGGGTTCACACAATCAAAACATGGATTATTATTGTGTTTATAATCATCTTTTAATGTAAGTATTTGGTCTTGTTGAGGAGTGTTATATAATTGAATATGATTATTGGTGTCGTTGTTGTCCTTGTACTTGTACTTATTGTTGTTGTTGCTTTGAACTTCAAAAGTTTGTGGTGGTGAAGAACGTATTAGTAGAGAGGCAACAGATTGTATAATGTTGGAAAATCGAGTATTTAAAAAATGAATTGGTCTGCTGTCCATTGAAAAAAAATTTATTTTTTGGAAATAGAAAAAAAATCTTTTCGTTTATTCTTAAAAAAAATTTATTAAATATAAAATAAGTTATCAGATTTTTTATTATTTAAAATTATAATTATCGAATTTTTATGCCCGATGATTGATTATCAGATCATTCTTACCGAATTAGAACTGACAATTATTTATTCTACAAACTACTAAGCCTTCAACTTTGTCACCTCCATACCTCGTTTGAATTTTGAGGAAAAAATTTTAACCAAACATGGGAAAGAATTATATTAAATTAATGTGATTTTTGGAGGAGGGTTTTTGTCTTACACCATTAAGTGAAAATTTGAAAACGTCCTTATAAGCATGTGTGGTTGTAACTATAGTGAGTGAGCTTATGTTTATTTTTATATAAAATTTATATATATATTATATAATACTTGCAAAATTTACTACAAAAAAGGTAAAGGAATTCATCGAAAAATTTTTGTTGTTGGGGAAGATTAGCTCTCAAAATAGAAAAATTTAGTCCTATGGCTGGCTTATTTTATGGAAAATATATAATTATGACTGAACAAGATCCTAATGGTAGTCATATTAAATGCTTGACCGTCAACTTCATTGATCACTCTTTACTCTTCATTGTTGGAGAAACCTCGGTTTTCTACAAGGTCAATCAAATGATCAAATGTTAAGAACAATATTTGTTACATGGTCTTGTTTATGAATGCAAAGTTATATATAGCATATCTCGGTCATTAGTTGCTGCAGAAATATAAATAGAAACCTCATATATACAAGTTTTTTTTATAAAAAATTTAAAATTCCTTTCTTCAAATAACAATTACGAAACCGACACAATTTTTATCAGCAACAAGAAGAAAAGCAACAAAGTTCACTTGATTTACATTATCTATATAGAAATAGTCTCTATCTTCTAACCATCTTTAATGGTATCATTCGTAATATAAAATTTTTGGAAGATTATCATCAAGGTAACAATCAGATTTTAAAAATTTCCTGCATTTCACTGCATCGAAACAACAACATCATATTCATCATTCATCACCAAAAGGTATGTATTCATTTATATGTAAAATATTTAATCCAACGTTTAAATTTTTATGTTTATTTCTCTAAACTCTATATTATCAAAGACGTTGTTATGATGAATAATAATATATTAATAGCTACTGATAAAAGAAAATCTAGTCAAGGTTCTGACAATTCAATAAGTGAAATAGAAAGAGTAAAAATATAATGACAACAACAACAATAACAACATTTTCCACAAAAGAACAAACTTAATAATGATAAAGTCTCCCTTTGAATAAACCTCTAGGTAAATGTTAACTAATGTATTGATTACAATGTGTTTACTAATATTATATCATTTTCATTAGATTATTAATATCTCTATTTTTATCTATATTACTAATAAACAATCTTATTGATTCACATCCAAATGTTCAATCAGGAATTACTTCAAGTGTTCCCAGACCAAATTTTTTTCAGTCAATATCGAACGTTTTTGGCAGGCATCGAGAAAAAAATATCACAATTGTTTTGTCTAAATGGGCCCATCTTAAAGATCAATATTGCTATCTTGGATTAGAAGGTAAATAAATATTTTATTGTGTGATGAAAATATGATTTTGAAGATTATAGATAGATCTTCAAGGTGCTGAGCGTTATAATTAATTATATAATTATGGAATTTATGGTAACTAATATAATTTACGCACGTTCACATTTTTTCTCTCTCTCAGAAATTAAATAGGCTGCAATTATTGATTACACAGACCGTTTTTACTTCCATTGTGGATTTTCCTAGAATAGCATTCTTGTAAATAATCGATCATACATCAAGATTAAACATGATCTTTATTTTGAAGTTGGTTGAATATTGGTAAAAAAAGCCATCTGAGAAGCTGCAAAGAAATTTAGTGATGAAAAACGTATGGACAAACCGTTGTAAATGATTGGGTTAGAAAGTAATCATCAAAAGTTTTTGGGAGGCGATGTTATGTGGATAAGTCGCAAGTTGCTTACCGAGAAACTATTAAAAACAAAGTGGACTGTTTTTAGTTAAATTTATCCTCTTTCTAACCTTCACCAGCAATTGCAACTATTAATCTTGAAAAAAATAATAAATACTGAGGAATTCGAATACATCCTCGTTATCATTATCATTAGCTAATTCAGTTTTATCTTCTGCTCTTTTGCATGATCTGGAAATGTGTAATGGTTGGAAATTATATCATCATGGAACTTGTGAAAAAAATTGGCGAACAGAATTTCCATGTAATTTTTGTAAGCATATTAATGTAGATGATAACCAAGTTTTTTATCCAAGTAAAAATGTTTATTCATGAGATATCGCAAATAAGTATCCAGGAAAACGACGGAATCTCATTGCCAAGTATTTATTTTAATTTATTCAAAGTATGTTTTTACAAAATTTAACATGATGTAACAAATTCATTCATATTTAACTTTTTATAGTTTCAATCATATTAGAATCTAAGGCTCTGAACGAGCCAGCTCGAAATTTAATATCATTATTTTACGATTTTTGCATACCATTGAAAATAATTGAACAATTAAATAGAGTAAAACAATAATAAAACAATAATAAATTGTATGGACATTATCAATAATAATTTTATGACGGACTAAAAATTTCGAAAATTTCGAATTCAAGATTCAAGATTGTACTTTTATTAAAAAATCTTCTGAAATATATGCATACAGTCGTTTCAACGAATCTACTATATACCACATTTAAAATTCGTTATACCAAAATTACTAATCACGTTTAAAATTCGTTGAAACGAGGTTTGGCTGTATTGAAACTTGCTCAGATATTTGCGGAGAATTAAAACGAACGTTTAAAAAACCTTCGCGAGTCAGTTATTCGAATTACAACTCAATATTAACAATATAGTAAAATTTTACAATCGAATGTCCTTGTTATATAGCAATCCCCACCGAAATTGAGAGATGGTTGCTTCAAAAAGGTTTCGAGACAAATTTTAATATAATCTGACCCTCAAAGTCAAATTTTGCCTTTATGTAGAAATTTGTTTAATGCGTCCATTGCAAGTAAAAGTTGCAAGAAATGTCCAAATAATTACATTATTATAAAGGTTTGTTGACTTAGGTGTGTCTTTTATAGTAAAATCATTTGTTTTAAAAATAATATAATAAATAAATAGATATTAAAATTTTTCCTATATAAATAATAATTATTAGAATAATCAAAATAATATAAGGCGGCCTTGTGTACACGAGGAAAATATGAGAATAACTGTCAAAGTAGCGTCTTCAACATCTGTAAATTCACGATGATCAAATTTTGCATATTGTCTGCAGTTGTCAACAGTTATACTGCCTCTCTTTACCGTTGACACTTTCTTGTAATTGTTTTTGATTAATAATGATTACATACCAATCATTTGTTATGACAATTTAGTATTAGTAAATAATAGGATATTCCAAAAAAAAAATAAGCATAAATACAAAAAAAAGTACTTCCGGTTATTAAATAAATAACTCTTCTTCAGAACCATGTCAACCAAATAACACTTCTAATATGTTTGTCAATGAATGCCTGTTCCCTTGTCTTGGACTTTTTCATCTAAAATAAATTATTTTTTACAAATAAAAAAATCAATTCGCGTCTAAAAAAAAAGAAAAGCCAAAACAACGAAAACTAGCAAAGAAAAGAACCAAAGAAAATAGTTTAGGAGCTTCCCTTGAGTAAGCATCGTTTTTATCATTTGAGAGTTATTCTAGTTATTATTATTTAAAAAAAATGGCCAAGTTTTGATTATATTTTTAGACTGGCCCGCTCCCAACAAAAAGAACAAAATTATGCTCTTTTCGATTGATAAGATTGATTATTTTGATATTAAGATGAATTGGAATCAAAAAAACGATTAAAAGAATTAGAAAAAAAAATTTCCTTTATCGTTACATTATGATTCTATTATATGTAAATTAATAGTTAATGTTCCCAATGAAATATAACAATTTTACCAACAACCGTTGAAAACTTGGATGCTTTATTGGATTAATACATGCACGAATTTCGAGCGACATCCTGTAGGTTGTCTAATATATATTTATACATGTGTATCGTTCATTTAGTTTTTGATTGCAACACCATTTAAAATTTTTTTACAAAGTAATGTGAAAATGAAATCTGCGAATTTGTAATTCACATACGTGTGAAATTCAAATTAGCCAATCAAAATTTCATATCCAAAACCCACCAAAATTTTAATTATAATAATAAATTTCGATTTCACATAGTTTCAATTTCACAACAAATAACACAAAAGGAATTCTCGTGATACCTCGATTTTGAAAAAAGTGACCAAGTTATATGGGATCCAATCATCTACAATACAAGACCTCACACAATTTGTTCTTGGTATGTCAAAGACATAACTAGGTATGTGATTAATCATTGAATTTCTGATTGAAGGCCAGAAATCGTTTAATTTTGGTGGAACGGTTCAGTTAATAAACTACAAACAAAATAGAAGATATTTTATTAATAAAAAAGCTATTTTACATTTTTGAGTCCTGATAGAGAACATGCACATTATGAAGAATAATTGAAACGATATATGACTAAGAATGTCAAAAATATTATTATGACTATGAAAAGGTGATGTATGTAAATCAGCTTAGAATATTCCAAATGAATTTATTCTTATTTAATAGCTTGTCATTTTTAAAAACGTGATCACTCATAGAAATAATACATACAAAATCGAATAGCAATGAACGTGTTATTTTGTATAGGACAACGGATGATGATTTATTATTATAATTATTTGTAAAAATTTGAGTCCGAAAAAAGTTTTATGCTGTAAAGCAAAATAAATGCTACTATAAAGATTAGTTATTTTTTACTGATACGATATACAAAAAATTTTTAAAATTTATTAATTAATATTAAACGCTTGGATAATTTCCAACATTCGACATCAACATCATCAATTCGTTCTTTTTTTTTTCGATTGTATACTTGAATTTTTATTTACTTAAAGTTTCTTTCAATCACGGGATTGGAAAAACAATTTAGCAGGCTTTTCATTAACATTATTAATATGGGAAAAAAAAGCAAAAAAAAAAAAAATACAAAAAGAATAAATTTTTTTAAAAAAAAAAATTTAAAAAACAAAAATAATAGATAGAAAATTATGACGGAAAAATCGATTGAAATTATTGAAATTGAAAATAATAATAATACAAAATATTTAAATGAAATACAATTATCTGAAGAAAACCTTGTTTATTCTGTAGATTCTGAATCCAATAATAATAATAATAATAATAATAATAATAATAAAATGGATGCAGAATCATTAGAACACATAGTACCAGATGGCGGATATGGATGGGTAATAGTGCTTGTTGCATTTATGGTAAGTGCAACAACTTGTGGATATAGTTATACATGAGGAATTATTATTATAAAAATGCATTCCACGAGCAAGTTTCTACCTCTTCCTTAGTCAATAGGTATAAGTTCTATTTTCTCATTAGATCCATTTTTCACCTATCTAATAGATAGGTTTAGTCATAAACCTTTGATGATCACAATACTTTTTGCAATTTCCAATATAATAGCAAGCTTTGCCGTAGCTGTTAGTATTTTTGATTTTTATTATTAGGTTTTTATTTTTTTGCGAAAAAATTTTTAATTTATTTTTTCGAAAAATAAAAATAAAAAAAGGTTTGGCAACTATTCTTAACTCAAGGACTATTATGAGGTATATCATGTTCACTCGCATTCTATCCATGTGTTGGAACACCTTCATTATGGTTCGTTAAGCGCCGAGGATTAGCAAACGGCATTGCTATAGCTGGTGGTGTTGGACCTTTGATTTATTCACCAATATTATCCAAATTATTATCTAGCATTGGTCATCAATGGACAATAAGTGTTTTTGGTTTATGGGGAACTATATTATTGTATTGTTAATATCAACAAAATTTATACACCTTCCGCCTAATTACCATTTAAGGAATAAAAATAATGATTTGTCGTCGTTGTCAAAGAAACAACAGATTTTAGATTTAAGCATATTTAAAATTCCTGAATTTGTTGGATTATCTTTGGTTTCTTTATTTATGTCTTTTGGATTTTTTGTACCATATTACTTAATACCATGTAAGCATAATAATTAGTTATTAGTGTAATAATCATAACAATAATAATCGTAGCATTTGCCACACATATTGACATTTCAGAAGGAACCAGCGCTATAATTGAGTAAAAATAGGTAAACACCACCACCACATTATCAACACGAAATTTTAAGGTTTATAATCAATCAAATAAAAAACACACAAAAGGATCAAACCTGTTAAATCTAAGCATGAGCAAGTAAACATTAACATTTATTGCGCTGATAAATTGTAAGTTGGATTGATTGATTTTCTTTTTTATTATTAAAATTTTAACCTAAAAAAAAATGTTAATAAATTAGAATACCTTTTTTATATGTACCTTTTCATCCGGCGCCGTAGTACTATTAATATGGACATTTTCAACAACTTTAGTACCTTTATTAATTTTTGCTATGATTTATGGAATGAATGCTGGTGGTTTCGTTTCATTGCTTTCGGTGGTTGCCACGGACATAGTAGGCTATGACCAGATAACAAATAGTATAGGATATTTATATGCTATTGATATAATTGGCACAACTTTTGGTACACCAATTGCAGGTGCTTTGTTGGATTTAAGTAAATCCAAAGCAACAAATCAAGAGGGAGTCGAAATTTATTTTTTACCAATAATGTATTCAGGTTCTATTATCATATTTGGTACTTTCTTTTTAATGTGGGTTAAATTAAGGCTTAACAAAAATCCTTTTGCAAAAGTATAACGATAATAATAATATAATAAATAGGAAAGTCAGAAATTATATTTTTGATTATTTATTTTATTAATTAACTGTTAACATTGCGACAAAACTGGATTTTCATTCATTGAATTGTTTTGTCTTTTATTCTTTATAAAAAACCCTAATGCTTTATCTGTTTTTAGAATTTCTTGGGCTAAACTTTCATCATCACCCTCATTAATTGAAACCGCTTGTTGCATAGTCATTCTTATTCTTACATTGCTAGATCTTGCTTGAAAGATATTTTTTCGATAAATAACCGTTTTGATATACCATGTCAAACAATATAAGCTACTTGATGTTATTTCTTTCGTAGAATCTTTAATTTGTGACAATTATATGATCTCTGATTTAAAAACCCCAGATTTCTCGTCCATGGGTTTTTCAGAATAATCCGATGTTCTTCACATCTTTGGTTCTTATCTAATGATCTTTTGCTCAAAAAAAAGGTAAAATGATGTATATCTCGTTATCACCATCAAAATAGACATTTAACATTTTTTATTATCTTGGTAACTAGAACTTCAACTAAATGGAAATAAAGGTTGTGATACTTGCTCAAATGTGTCTTTAATCACTTGCTTTTTTTCTTTTATGTAATTTTTTAATATTAAAAGAAATTAATTAGATGTTAAAACGCGAAAAGAAAATTATTTAAAGTCTTTAATCTGATGATTTTATTTATGATTTTTGTGATCTTATTAAAAATGATCCTCGATAAGAGCCTATGGTTGATATTGAGCTTTATTGTAAAAGACTCGGTCAAATCCGTGTCTAAAATTCATGTTAATACCAAATGTGAGCTGTGAAAAAAAGAAACATAGTTATCAATGCGTAGCCTTTCGTTCAAGAAATTCCAACAATACAAATATTCCACATAAAATTTTCTTTCGAGATCTTTATAAGCATATTGATTACCCATGGATTTTAAATTAGAAAGCTATTCTCTTAATACCAGTTTGATAAGTATTATTGAATTTTCCCATAATGCACAAAATGTTAGTTTACTTGCTCATACTTAGATTTAACAGGTTTAATCCTTTTGTGTGTTTTTTATTTGATTGATTATAAACCTTAAAATTTCGTGTTGATGATGTGGTGGTGGCGTTTGCCTATTTTTACTCAATTATTAAAAAACCATTTGTATAAATGCCTGGTCGTGCATCGTATTCATAGAATGGATAGCTTGGAATCTAAATATCTTCACCTTTTCGATGATTTAACGTTGGTATTGGAGGAGTCTTTATTTGCCATATGGAATTCGTTTATAAGCAATGCAAAGAAAGCGAAGAAACTGATTATTTCCAACTCAGCACAAAATTGGCAACAATAATAAAAAAGATGAATATGTAGAGTATATATCAATTTGTGAAGTTTTGAAAGAGACAGACATGACAAATTTTTGTTTTTATATTAAAAAAAGATACATTTAAATATTTAAATCTGTAAATTTATTTATTTACTATTTAAAAGAATAAATAATAATAATATAGTTGGCTCGGTCTAAAGACCACCTAAGTTTTGCATAAATTTTAAAAGTATAGAAGTCACTTTCTGTCATATCTTTTAAAAAAATAACGTTATTAGTTGATATAATAGGTCTTTAGTTTTAATGTAATAATGAGATATTCTCAAAAAAATTATTTGTTGTAGAGTTCTATTCTTTTTTAGAACATGTACAGTCACATCACAAAGTAATGCCCGATTCAAAATTGAAACCGAAAATAAAGATATTTATTGATTTTTTTTATTTTTTAGCAATTTATACATAAAAAAAAAATTAATATCTAACTAATACTTTGTCGGCCCACCATTTGCTCTTAATACCGCATCGATTCTTTTTGGTATTGAGGTAACAACCTCCTCGAAAATAGAGCGATCCAAATTTTCCCACTCCTCTCTCAATGCAATTTTAAGTTCGTTCACAGTTCTCGGAAAGTCTTCATGCTTTTGGATATTATCTTTAACAACTTCCAAATGTTCTCTATCAGGTTCAGGTCTGGCGAATTTGCCGGCCAGTCAATAGTTGCAATTTTATTAGTCCTTAGCTATTCCTTGGTTGCTTTTGAAGTATGGATCGGTGCGTTGTCCTGTTGATAAACCACAGAACCTCCTGTCAACTCACGAACTGCATGCTGATATGGCAATAGTTATGTTTAAGATGAGAAAAGTTATACAAAAAAGGGGAAGAAACGGGCTGTGTAAATGAATTGTATCGTAGTTACATGGGAAAATCGGGCGTTACTTTGTGACGTGACTGTACGTACCAATAATTAAGAGAAGGAGATATTTAACAGGTAGGTTCTATTAAAATTAGTCGATTACTACTTCATTAAAAGTGTGCCTTTATATTTAAACATTGAAAATAAACTATATTCTTTTTGGATGGGTAAGACTGACTGTTTTGTTTTTAACGAACCCGAATTTTTTGATATTAATCCAATTTCCAACCCACAGAAAGATGAATTGCCAAAAAGTCCGTCCACTAAACATATAGTGTACTTTGATCTGTAACAATTGTTATACTTGTAATGATTTGGCTTTTGAGGCATAGTTTGACGGTATCCCAATATTATTGTCAATGATCAGCTTTAAATCACCACAGTCTAACATCAATAAAGCAATTGAATTTTTAGTATGCATGCATAAAGAAGGAACTTGTGTATTTGAACCTTTATCAAAATATAGCTTGTATTTAAAAACTATTGTAGATGCTTATCTTTCTGAATTTTTTGTTTCCAAAAGTTATTATAAAAAAATCCAAGATAAATAAAATAATCAATTAAGAATTTAAGCATCTTAAGTGAAAGGATAAATTTTAATTAAGCTTTCATTCAATGCTACATTTTGAATACACAATTTTGCAAGTATGGCAGTATAAATTTATTTGTATTTTTTTTTTTTTCTAATTTTTTATTCTAAATAAAAATTATTTCCAAGAAAAATAACATGGAAAGTATGTATATGTGCCACTTTTTAATAGTTTATTTTCCGAAGAATCAAGCTATAAAGTAATCACCATTTTATATTTTTAGATCTTTAAAGAATCCATCTTTTATCATTCAGTAGTAAGTACACATGCAGCCAACAAAGAATAATGGAATTGGTAAACTTGCCTGTCTATCCAGGAGGAAATGTAGCGATTATCATGGTTTCAGATGTTGCATTAATACTACAAAATTATAATATTGATGCATGATCAGCTAACCAAATTTCCAGAGACCTAGAAACCGAGCATATTAAAGACATAAAGGTTTTTGGTATCATGTAAATATATTGATTAGGTTAAATTCTCTAGATTCATATATAAAAAAAAAGGACAAATCTTATTTTAATAATTTGATTGCCAAGATGATGGTTGGTCCAAGCCATTTGGGTTACTTAGCATCGCATCACTGAACTGCTTTATAATTGCCTAGAGTAAATATACGACAGTCATATTAATGTATTATATTCATGCATAATTTGCATCAAGATTAGCTTTCCTTAAATAATTCTCGGGTGCCTGAGTATCATTTATTTTAAAAACATAAGGAGCAATTTCTCACCTTGTTGCTTTTTTAAAATGTATATGATATTACTATAATTCTTGGGTTCAATGATAGATTGGTTCATATATTCTAATTTTCCCACACATTTGGTAAAAAAATTGATAAGGGTAGTGTGTGGTATTTCATCATTTGTGCTGAATCGTCCCCATTTACCCTAATATGTCTTTTTCCAACGTCAAACTAGAGTCAAGTTCAACAGGATTTTCTTTCCCCGCTGATTTTGCTAAGCCCATTATTACATTTTTGGTATAACATAAAATTGCATCACCCGGGTAATGATAATACCAAGACCATGCAGTGATTTTAAAAAAGCCACATAATGATGTCTTTCCTGGCGGGTAGAAGACAGGGAATTTGGTAGAATTGGAGATAAAAAAACCCTTTTCTTCTACTTGGTTCCCTTTTCTTGCGTGTGTGCACTTTCCAATTGCACACAATTACAAGTTGTAGAACTTTTTTAAAAAATATTTCCAAATGAATAAATCTGATGTTTATTATAAACAGGGTTGGCATTGAACATGTTCAAAATGTATTCTGACTTGGTGTTCTTGATGATGGAGGTTGAATGGTGATGAGTTCGGTTGGGTTGGTGATTGAGATTGAGATGGTGGGGTTGGAGTGAGGTTGTGTGGTGGTGCTGTTGTTGATTATTGTGATGGTGGATTTTGATCTACAGCCAATGCCAACCCTGCTTTATTGGGTGTCAGATTTAATAAAATTTTCCTTTCACAAACAAGCAAGCGTCATGCGATTGCAAACCTCAATAACTGTAGAATTTTAATTTTTTCTACAGGTAAGGCAATTGAACAAGTTTGAAGGCTTCAGACAAGCGAGAGGCTTTAACACAACGTGATCGATAAACTTCAGAGCATCGTTACCCCTCCCCGAAGTTTAATTCCGTTCTTATATCATCGGGGGATCAAGTCAGATTAGCCTTTTTCACGAGGAATGTGTGAATGATTGCAATATTTGAGCAACAAAATGTTGCATATCAAATCACTTTTTAGTGTTCCCAGATTGTTCAATAGCAGTTTCCTATATGTGTATGATATATATATATATATATATTTAACATTTTAATGATAACAATGTAATGAATGCTCACGCAAAACAAATATATCAATCATTTGTTTATTATCACACGCAACAAGGAGAGCACTTTGATAAGCTTCTCCTTACTGCATACACCTTGATTCTGCAGAATGCACTTTAAAAAGTATAGATATCCTTCCTACCTTTTATTAAGCGTGTCCAGTGAGGTAACTGACTGCTATTTCCTGGGTGACACTGTGGAAGAAGACTTGCTGGAATGGACAGGATTTACAAAAGAGTCACGTAGCAACTGAGGCATAAGACTTGGCACGCGTTATCTATTGGAATATATTTTAATAATATTATTATATATATTATTAACAAATGTACCAGTTGTTTGTTTATTATCACAAGCAACAAGGAATATTATTTTCAACCTCCTTATTTCCTTATTGAAGGAGAGTACTTGGATAAGCTTCTCCTTACTGTCTCCACCCCAATCCTGCAGAATGCACTTAAAAGTATAGATATCCTTCCTACCTTTTGTTAAGCGTGTCAGTGAGGAAACTAGCCTGCTATTTGCTGGGTGACACTGTGGAAGAAGACTCGCTGTGACGGTCAGGATTTATAGAAAAGCCACGTACCAACTGAAGAATAGAATCTGGCACGCGTTATCGGTTGTAGCATATTTAATGGTATTATTATAATGTTTATTATTATTATTATTATTGATTAAATTTTTTTTTGTTTCATGGTGATCAATGATTTTCACCGTGTAGCTCATTGTTCCCATGGAATAACTGATTTGTCCCATGGAGACTAACGTCCCATGATTTAAATTCATACTGTAAAATAATAATGGTAATTTTACATATCACGGGAAATCAATAAAATGATTTACGAAAGTTGCACGCAAATAAAATCGGAAAAACTGATCAAGTATAGTGCAGGACACCTATATATTCAATTTCATATTGTTACTTAATCACTGTAATAACCAATAAAATAATGGACTCATGGAAAATATCTCAAACAACAAGTAAATATCCCAACATTCTAAAATATAGCAGACCTTTAATTTTCAGATTTAATTAAACGAAGAAATTTTAAATGATTTGATCACTTTAGAAATAACTTGAAAATAATACTACACAGAATACATTTAATTAGAATAACTAGAGATGGGCAAAATGGCGTATAGTTGAACACTATACGATACTTTATGATACTTTACGTATAGTGCGTATAGTAGTGTTGAAATTTGATTGGGTGATTTTCCAATGTAATACAAAACTGAATAAAAAAAATAATTTGGATATTAAGATCTTTACCTACACTTTTTTAGGTTTTTATTTTCAATAAAATTTTCATCAGCTTCTTTGATAAAATCTTCAATTATGTTGTAATTTATTTGTACACTAAGTATTTGAAGTATTAAAATGTTCTCCGAAATAATTTCTTTTAATTTGAATTGTGGCATTTGGACAAAGACGTAAATGTTTTTCACATCTAGATATTGAACTATATAGAACGTTAATATTAAAATGTTGCCAAATTGCAGGCAAGTTTAAAATATATGAGTCTGATTCATTTCGTCGCAAAAAAAAACTTCATTAAACAAACTTCTCCTCACACTTCCCACACAATCTGCTTTTCTCACTAATTTCTTAACTAACTTCCCACACTCCTCACATCTAACTCGTTCGGTCTCTGGCTCAAGGATGAAATAATTTTTGACGAAATGAACATTCGACGAAGTGAACATTTGATGAAACAAGCTTTCGACGAAATGAACTTTCGATGAAACAAACTTTCAACGAAATGGGTGTCGACGAAGTAAACGCGACTGAAAATATACATTATCGTGAGAAGAGTATTAATTAATTTTTATGTGTAACATAACACCTATTATTTGGCATATTTTTCTAGAACTATACGCACTATACGTATAGTACTGACCATCTCTAAGAATAACTAACACCGATTAAATTTGGGAGAGCGTATTTTAATTGGTAATAACAATTATTTTTGTATTTTTGTGGATCAGAATGAATAGGTTATCAACGAGTTGATTTTGGATTAGCGAATAATTTTGGTTAAGGAAGATAAAAGTTTTAAATAAAATAAAATATTTATTATTTTATTTATTTAGTTTTCCTTAGTCGAAACTAATTAACTTGTTAGAAAGTTATTTTTCAAGTACATTGAATTCAATCTTCTTATATACAATTAAATTGATTAGTAATTCTAATATTTCAAAATTGAAATATTGGAAAGACGATTCTTTAATAAATTATGACGTTATAAAAATAAAACGTATTACGAAAGGCGCAACACGAATAAAATAATACTAATTCATAAAATAAGATTATAAACTAAAATAGAATAATAATAAAAATTAAGAGTTTCGGAATTAGTTAATTTCAGCCAAAAGAGCGTTACGTTCTATATCAGGAATCAATATTTTAGTAGTAAACTTGGATTAAATCTTGATTGATTTTGGTGTGTAACATTTTTATATTTTGTGCAACAAATGAATGTCCCATGCTATTGTCGCGAGCATGGTGGAATTTCTCTTTATCACATTTATCACTTTGTGACGATCTCAAATTTATGTTGTGTGACTATATAATTT